AAATTTATGAGTGATGCCTAAGAAGAACTCCAATGAGAACTTCTCAGTTTTACAATTAGTATGATATATTAGACCTAATCTAAGACTAAGTCTAGGGGCCATTGTCGTTTCAACCTCCTAATGCCAAAAGGTTGAGTAACGTCACTATAGAGGATTCAAATGTGAGTCCAGTTTGCGCTTATATTTTTCTTTAACTTCTTTAAACGTTAATTGCACCGTTTTCATATTGAGGTCGCTGTGAATGGTCTCATTTGTCACGTACCACGGAGATTAAGAATTGAACGTAAATTTTTGACTGAGTTCTCTGCATTATAGCTATATTGGATTTGTAAGCACATCCCCAGAGCTCAATTCCGTAGGTCCAGATTGGTTTAATAATCGATTATATAGCAGCAACTTATTTTCGACAGAGAGCTTCGACTTTTTACGCAGTAGCCAATCAAATTCTTTTATTTTGATCATTATTTGCTGCTTTTTTGTTTTTATATGGCTTTTCCAAGTAAGTCTGCTATCTAAATGGAGACCAAGATATTTCACTATGTTCTGTTTCGGAATCTGGACGTTTTAAATAATTGGAGGACACGTACCCTCTCTCAGGGTAAATGTGATATGAACTGATTTGGTTTCATTTATGCAAATCTTCCATTTAGCAAGCCACATTTCTAGTTCATTGATAAGTTCTTGCGTTTGTCGGGAAGCTTGATCAGCACTGTGATTACTGCTTAGTATGGCAATATCGTCAGCGAATGTAGCAATTGTCAGATTTTCAAGTAATGGGAGGTCCTTTGTGTATAATACATATAAGAAGGGTCCAAAAATACTACCTTGTGGAACACCTGACATTATTTTGTGAAAATCAGATGTTACTTGATTTACTTTCACTTGAAAAATCCTATCTTGTAGATAGGATTTTAAAATCCCATAATACCTGGATGGAAGGTATGTTTTAATTTTATATAAAAGTCCTGGGTGCCAAACTTTATCGAATGCTTGTCGAACATCCAGGAAACACCACTACAAATTGCTTATTTTCAAATGACTTGAGTACAGTGTCAATAACCCTGTGAACTTGCTGTGTGGTCGAATGTTCACGTCTAAAGCCAAATTGATGATAGGGGATCCAATCTGAAGGAAGCTCGTTGTTGATTTGGTCCAAAAGGATCCTTTCAAGCAGTTTAGATATTACGGGAAGCAAGGATATTGGTCTATATGAAGATACCTCAGTCAAGTTTTTCCCTTTTTTAGGAATCATTAATATTTGGGCAGTCTTAAATGATTTTGGCCAATACTCTACTCTTAGTATGGCATTAAATATATAAGTTATTAAAACAATCGTTTTCTTAGGAAGTTCTTTCAACGCCCTTGCTGTTATTTTGTCAAAACCGGCGATTTTCTGTATTTAACATCTGGATTTGAGAGTTGACTTCTTTGGGTTTGATAGGTTTGAAAGATTGTGAAGACTGTAGAGGTTTAAGCAATTCTTCTTCAATCTCTTTATCAATGGTGGAATCAAATGGTTAAAAACATTAGACAAGTATTTAGCAAATAGGTGCGCTTTGTCTTCTCACTTCTTGCCCAAGGATCATTAGCACTGTTTCTAATAGGTGAAGAAAAGAATTTAGGCTTCTTCACATTACTAGCTGCTTTCCATATCGAGTTATCTGATCCTGATAGATTATTATGTACTTTTCAAAATTTTCATTTCTGACTTGCCTAAGTTTGCTTTTAAGTTCTCTGCAAAGTTTATTGTATGTATTTTTATCGTCAGGTCTATGATTTTGTTGCCATTTACCTCTAGCACGTCTTTTTTTCCGAATAAGCTCTTTGATTTCCAACGGAATATCTTGGAATGCAGGTGATGCTTGAGTTTTAGGAGTTGCTTCTTGAATTGAAGTCTTAATGTGTTGAAGCAAATCTTCAGTAGCCTTGTCATTTCAGCTAGAATTCGAATAAAATCCGAATAATTTTTATATTAAAAAAATGTTTCAGAATTTTTTTTTTTGAAATTTTGAAATTAAAAAAAAGTCTTTTGCTCAAAACATTTTCACAAACAATTTTTCCGAACACCACGTTTCTTAGACATGAGCAGACTTTTTTCTATCATTTAAATCAGATGCTTACATTCTCTCAAAATCTGTCATATTTTGCACATTTAGCTTCGTACCTCCGAACTGCAGGATTTCGTCTTTGCCCAAAATAATCCCATTTCGAACATTTTTTGCAAAATAAATGTCTTCAGATTCATTTAAATCTGATGCTCTGTTCTCTCAAAACTTGACTGCTATTTTTTCTACACTCTTTGCTCCGTATCTCTGAAACGGCTGGGCCTGACTTTGCCAAAACTAATCAGAACGTCTTTCCAACAGTGGGAATTGAATGTTTTTGGTTGAGCAGTGCTCCCGAAAACGTGGACGAAAAAATCCATACATAAGCACACACATATACATTTTTTCTAAAGTATGACAAAATGTTCAGAAATTCTTGAAACGTAAATATGCAAAAAATTTTATTTTACATTTTTAATCGAGTACAATAACTTACTCCCTAAAATTTGTCGCTCTTACAAAATTTTACATTCTTTAATTATTTGTATAAAACTTTGGTTTATATATATATATATATATATATATATATATATATTGGGTCTGTTACGAATTTGCATGTATATTTATATCGACTTCTCCTTTTCAGTATCGGATTTCACGGAGTCGCTATCGCAATTATACGAGGCACATGCCGAGAGCCTCCAAGACCTGGTTTCTAATTATAGGAAAAAGAACGCCGATTTAAGAAAGGAACGGTAAGTACCATTCGATATCTACTAATTAACTTACACGGATACTTCGGCAACAAAATACTTAGGTGTTGAATATTGTACTTTTTACCTCATCAGGTAACCGTTATGACGTATACACTTATGCGGTTGATCAAAGATTTTCAATAATCAAGGTTTAGAGAAGCAAAGAGTAGAATTGCGGGCTTTATTTATATGTATTATATTTAGGGTATTCCATGGTGTACTAGTTAAGTTTATGGACTCGTGTAGACGGGGTCGTGAGTTTCAATTCCGCTCTGGACAACATGATATCGTTCAGTAGCGATGTCTATTTTTACTTCAAAATATAGATTAAAAATATGTTTTGATTGAAAATAGCCCATTTTGCGTACTGCGGTATGAAATGGCAATGGCAAATGTTTTACACCAATCATCCCTGAATCGAGTTGGAGTTTAACTCCAACTTATGGACTTGCCCTAGGGCAGCATTACAATTAATAATTGGACAGGCTTACGGGATGTTAAATTTACTGACACCTCTCTTGAGCCACAACAGCCCGCTAAACGTGAAGAACAAGCGGACACTCTACTTGACACTTAAAAGACCGTTACTGACATACGCCGCTCCAGCATGGAACGCGACGACTAAGACCACCTTACGCAAACTACAGACATTACAAAATAAGACACTACGACTAGTACTTGACAAAATAAGGGACCCACTGACTAGCCATTACTACTCTACAAAATACATACATGAACAGACTGACGTACCGACAATACTCGACCATATAAAAAGCTCACTGGGAATTTCTACTCAAAATGTGAGGATCACCCTCAAGATAATTAGATAATCTCACCATATTTTCTCTCTCTCTCTCTCTTTCTCTCGCTATATATATATATATATATATATATATATATATATATATAAACTGAAAAACATAAAGCACTTTGTACATACACATACACACCAAATAAAAACTGATGTAATTAAAAAATTACAAATTTATTGAGTTCCATATGTTCACATACGTTTGGTGTGAACTATAAAATATTCCTCGACAATGTTTCAAATGTAGTTAAAAACTGAATGAAAGAGTGGCTGGATTTTATTAGCGTTAAATTTTTACCATGCGTTTCTCTAAAATATTGGAAAAAATCTTTTATTTAGTTTTTGTAATCGGTTTATTGAATTAAATTATTTCAAAGTTTCTCAAAGTCAGTTTAGTTAATTATTGAAAAATTATTAACTGCCTGGTTCAACATTTAATGTGTATACTGTAAGTGCATAGATTTATATTCCACTTAAAGGATCATTCTAACGATAAGTAGACTAAAATATATGGAAACTGTTTATTTTATTTGGTGCTAGCCTGAATTATTTAACTTTAACACGTTAATCGACATGTCAGTCATATGTATCTGACGTTAAAAAGTTTTATACAAACAATGTGTGGCATATATGCCTGACAAATTGACCTGAAAGTCTCTTGGATTGTCGAGAAAACAGTTTTATATAGGGCCATGCCAGTCATATTTGTATGACATATAAGTGTTTTCACAGAAATTTTGATAAACATTTTTTTTATTCATTAAGTTTACTTGATATTTGTAACTAAATTATCTAATAAAGTTACCATGGCATGTGATATTATCATGACGTTTAACGTATTAAATCTTTTGTAATTTTTTTTCTTGCGTCAATTTTTTTTATTACAGTCACTGTATTGTTGCAAATTAGTGAACCTTGAATTCGATCCATATTTTTTTACCTTTGCTAACTATTACGAAGGAAAAAACAGTCCCTCACCGTACTTTTTAACGAAGCGCCTGCGGCTAGCGTACCCTCGTATTTTTGTCTTTGTTGAAAAAAATACATTTTCAAACCAGCGAACAAGATGATACTTTAAAAGTTTCCGATCTTAAATGTAATATATAAATTGCTTTATATATTCAATAATACTGTAATAGGGTCGCATTATACAGTTTATTAAAATTAGGAACGAAAAGTTGGTTTTTAATGAGAGAAATTTAGAATATTTTAGGTGATGTAATTACTTTGCTATACTTGGTAATTATTCTAGCATTTAGTAGATACAAATAAAACTCAATTTATAATTGTTTAATTTTTTTTATTTACTTTTTTGTCTGGTTTGGATATTTACCCGTAGGTATAGTATCCATCGTATCTGTTTTTTTTGAAAACAATAAATAGTATTCAGGGTATAAAAATTATGTTATAATTGTTACAAAAAAGGAGGAACGAAAGATTTTCCAAAAAAATCACCATCAAATTTATCATCCCGTAAGCCAGTCTGATAAAATCGTTTAATTAATTTTATTCGAGAGCTCTTATAATTTAGCACAAAACCCTGAGTTACATTATGAGAAATCGTTCTATTTTTATTTATTTACAATTCAGAAGTTTTGTTGAATCAGGTAAAATAATTTGCCCATATTGAATTTTTTTAGTAAATTGTTAAAAATTGTTTTTATCTTTATTTTCTGAAATTTGACATCGATCGAATCTTCAAAAAAAAAACATTACCAGTTTTACTTAAAGCTGGAGCTTTAGGCAAAACTGTGAATAATCATTCACTGTGTGCTTTGTCTCCGACAATCAGTTAGTACTATTACATGACTTTTTATCTGAATTATATGAATTAAGAAATATATGTAAATAGAAGTACCTTTTTTTCAAATATATAATAGAAATTACAATTAACCAGAAATATTTTCAGTGCCCTTCAAGTTATCGCTACAAACAACTACAATTTCATCTACAAATGAAAATTAAAATAGTTTAATCAGTGCATACATTTATTCTCTTATTTTGATTTTTATTGGCAATTTATGCAAGTACAGAATCTCAAGTTAACATAACTTAAGCGAATTTTATCAGTAACTAGCTATAAGTGGCATTCTGTCTTAAGGCAATTAAGGGATCGTGCCTTAAGGCAAATTGCTGGAACTTCCCGTACCAAATATTATTATTTTTTTAAAAACGATTAACATTCTTGAAAAAATTTTACTTCAAAAAAATAAGATTTTTGAGAAACTATAAATTAGACAAAAAATTACTTTTTTTGAAAAAAAAAATTAAAAAAAAAAATTTTTTTTTTATTTTTTTTTCTGAAAAAAAAATGTTTTCTTTATTTTGACATATTTTGAAAGATCTGAACTTTTTTTCAAAGCTATCGTACGGCTTTAACTGCATATTGAGACAAAATATAAGCGCGTAAGCGCCGCGTCGCCGTCTAACGGATAAACATTGGTAAGGAACCCATAGGAATGTAAACAAAATTTATACTTATTGTTAAAATCTCTATAAAATATCTGATAATTTGATGTGCATATGTCTAATGTTTATTTTTGACCGCCAAGTGGCTAATTTTTTTACTTTTTCCCCCATATCTCCAAAGTCGTTGGACCTGCCTTTCCAGAAATTTGAACAGTTTTTTATTTAGTCAATACAAATAAAATGCTTTTTGAATTATTCAAATCGGACGCTCCGTCTCTTAAAAACTGAGTTACCGTTTATGGCATTTTTTGCCCCGTATCTCCGGAACGGCTAGGCCTGCCTTTGCCAAAAACTAATCAGCACGTCTCCTTATCAATACGAATCGAATGTTTTTTAAATTATTCAAATTGCTTCATCCGTGTTCCCGAAATCGTCGACGGAAATTTGTATCCGCACACACATACATACTACGCACACACACACACACACATCCATTTTTTCTAAGGTATGCCAAAATGTTCAGAAACCTCTGAAACGTAAAGATATATAAAAATTTTCATTTTCGATTTTTTTGCGATTACTATAACTTACCCTACGGGAAGTTAAATATAGAAGGCTTTTTATACTGACGTAAAAATCTGTTTCATTAAAAAATATACCATCTAATTGGCTAACAAATCCGCTGTAAAATATGCAATGTCTTAGGGAAGGATTAGTGTCATGATGATAAAACAGAAAAATATAATATCACTAGGTATTTAATTTGAATTAAACCTAATTTATAATTGGTCCCACAACCCTAAATATTTTTTTGGGAAAACATTTGTCTGGAAATTATTAACTTTTTGAAAATTAAATAAAAAATAAAATTTTTGTGCGAGGTTAAATTTATTTTTTCTGTATTAACTTTATTATTAGGCAGTTTTTTTTGGAATTGTAAAAAAAATGTTTGCATTGAGGGAATTTTAGAAGTAATTTTTTTACGAATACACGAAAGCAAGTTCGTCAGGTAATTAAAAAATACGTTTCTATAAAAAATATTTCATTGTCCCAAGTTCATTTACTAAAAATGCCCGCGGCACTTTTTGCAATTAATTGGTACCCGATGTAACAGGGTCAGAATAAACATTGTAAAATCAATTTATCAAAGTCATTATATAGGAGTGATATTTCTGCTAAAATTAAGTCTAATTAGCAGTATTTTGGCATTACATCATTGATTTATGTAACAAAAAATATAAAGATACAAAATGTTGAATCACAAAAATAATTAAGCGCTTAATAGCCCGGTCAATTTAAACCTAAAATCAGGGTGAAGGTTAGCATAATTCATAATGGACTGTAACTTGGTAAAACTGTTTAAAATACAATTATAAAAGGAATCTCAAAAGTCTCATCGATCCAATGCAAACTAAAAAAATTGCACAAGGTCAAAGGTAAAAAAAACTTTTTTGCAATTTTTAGCTTAATGGTCAATTTTATCGCAAAATTACCTGAGACAGTATTGTAGAGCATAAAATTATCTACGAAAACTGCATGTATTTTTTTTGCTCAGAGCCACCGTTTTATAGATATATCACTTTGAAACGTATGTTTAAACGCACACCTACGAGGTAGTGTGCTTAGCTCGTTTTTTTTACGTGGTTTTCCCAGCAGGCTCATTTCACAAGTTGGTTGTGATTTTGTTTTGGAACACTTGCAAAATAATATTTTTGAATTTGGGTTGGTAAAAATAAAGGCGGTAATAATAAAAAAGCAACTAAACTTATTCCTTGGAGTC